TACCTTTGGAACTATATGAAAAAGTTCCATGAAGTTAGGTCAAAATCCTGACCAAAACTAGGGCAAAATTTCATTAAGTGTTCAATTTCAAGACCATGACTTTATGAATTAATAACTTGAGATCCAAGCATTTTTGGAAGAAGTTTTGTAAAGAAATGTTGTATATATCATGGATATCTACAACTTTCATGTTGAAAGTTTCTTTTGAATCCTCTTGCATCATAGTGAAAAATTTACTCAAAGTTGTAAGAAAACATGAAGTTTTAAACACTTAATAAAATTTCTAAGTTAGAAATTTTTTACTTTTGAAAATGAAATCTTGAATTTTTTATTTCTTGATGAATAAGTTTCATATTTTGACATGTTTTGATGGATTGTGATCTTTGACATTGGATTTTGACCAAAAGTCAAAGTTTGACTTTTCAGTGTACAATTGACTTTTGATCAATTGACTGAGAATTCACTATCAATCCAATTGATCTTGAGCAATGTTTTAGGTCATGCCATTCGGTCAAAAATATTAAATGGAAATCTTGAAACCATGCTTCAAACCAATTGACCATTTGCTAGGTCAAAAATCAGAAATTGCCTTTTCTCACTAAAAACCCTAATTTTGACCATTTTGCCCTTTTGATGATTTGATCAAATTTCTTGAGGAATTATGGTCCAAACTTGATCAAATGATACATATGAGTTTATAATATTTATGTGGATAAAAAATTATGAAGTATGACTGTAAATTGGCCATGGTTGACTTTTCCTCAATATAGCTGATTTTTAGGTCAACTGCTCAATTGACTGAGCAAAAGTGTGATCCAAGGCTTGAAACTTGACATGAGTAATCTTGGGGATCCATAATGATCCATGAAAGTCATATGAATCATTTAAAGTTCAATTATCCTTGTGTAATCTCAAACCCTAATTTTGGTCATCAGTGCTTAAGGAGGTGTCTTGAGCTGATTAAACCTAATGCAGTCTTAAACCAAGAGAGATCCTTGTGAGAAAATATTTGATAAGTGAGAGGGCAAATTTTGGGGTACAACATCTGCCCCTGTTCAATCTTCTTAAACCTGAAGAGTTAGATTGGCGGATCCGCCATTCGTGACTTGGAGGTGAAAGATGATTGAACACTAGAGTGCCCAGAAATTTGCACTCAAAGATGGATGGTGAATGGGCTTATAGATGCCATTTGGAGGAATGCTGGTAAACACTGGAAGAAGTATCAACACAAATCTCTTGTTGATTTATACTAAAACTTGATGTTTTACCTGTGAGAAAAAGAGTTAGTAAAATGCAGATGCCTGCATGATGTTCACCATATGTGGTATTATGTTAAATGCATATGGTATGTACATGCTATGATGTATGAATGTGAGATGTATGTTTTTGTCCGGGAAAATAAATCCTTGACTGCTGCTGAGGAAATTCTGGGGGGTTGAATCCCTGATTGCCGTTGGGGATGAAGAATATGCATATCTTTAAACTTTGTTGAAAGGATGCTTTCACTGGAGAATATTTCTTGAATGTTAGTTGTTATCTGGTCGGATCCATGCTTCATAATTTGCTGAGGATGAAGTAGTCAACTGCTATCTGGTCAGATCCAGGCTTCACGGTAACTTACTGGGGGGAAGAGACGAATTAACTGTTATTTGGTCGGATTCCAGGCTTTGCAGAAAATTTTCTTGAAATTGAATAGTTATCTGGTCGGATCCAGGCTTCACAACAACTTGTTGGGGATACGGAAGTTAACTGTTATCTGGTCGGATCCAGGCTTCGCAGTAACTTGAAGTGGTAACTACTATTTGGTCGGGTCCAGGTTTCGTGGTTTTTGGAAAGTTGTACTATTATCTGGTCGAGTCCAGACTTCATAGTGTCTCTCTGGGGATCATAGTTAGTTGTTATCTGGTCGGGCTCCAGGTTTCACAATAAATTGTTTGAAAAATTGTTATTTGGTCAGGTCTAGGCTTTGCAGATTTATGAGGTTGATGAAGTCAATTTCTATCTGGTCGGGTCCAGGTTTCACTATAAACTCTTTGGAGATTTAGTTGTTATCTGGTCAGTTTCCAGGTTTTACAAAGAATCTCTGAGGGTAACTTCTATCTGGTTGGACCCAGGCTTCACAACAACTTGCTTGAAAAGATGAAATTGAAAACTGATATCTGGTCAGATCCAGGTTTCACAGTAATTTGTTGGGGCAGAGACAAACTCTACTGGGGAAATAAGTTAAACCTTGGTCGGGTTGAGTCCAGGTTCTTATATATATTTGAAGAGTTAGACTATTTATCTGGTCGGGTCCAGGTTTCATAGTATCTTGAAATTGAGATCAACTGTTATCTGGTCGGGTCCAAGTTTCAGATACTCAAACTGTTATCTGGTCGGGTCCAGGTTTCAGTAATTCACTAGGGATAGTGGCAAACTCTACTGGAGAAGAGGAGTTTTGCTAATGATTTTGTAGGAATTAAACTTCTATTTGGTCGGTCCCAGGCTTCAGCAATTGAAGAAGTCAAACTATTATCTGGTCGGGTCCAGGCTTTCAGTAATAACTTGAAAATTGTGCTAATATCTGGTCGGGTCTAGGCTTTATAGTATCTTTTTGGAAATAGTAAAGGCTTTGCTGACGGTTTTACTAGGGATCAGGGGTTATGGCCCTATGATTTGCAATAATCTGAAAGGAAAATTCAAACTGGAGAGTGTAGACTCAGTCGAGTAGGACAAACTCATCTTGGAGAGGATATACTCAATTGGGGAGGATATACACAACTGGGGAATAACGGGCTCAGCTGGGGAGGATGGACTATGCAGGGGGAATACATACTCGGTTGGGGAGGATGTACTCGGCTGGGGAATTTTATGGTTCCTCGATTGTTGTTGGGGAAATAAAACCTGTTTGGGAAATAAACCCTGTTGGGGAAATAAACCCTGTTGGGAAGTGAGTTTCTTTTAGGAAGAGATCCACGAGGATTCAACTTGTAAAAATCGACTTAGCTGGAGAGAGAGCTGCCAAGAGATTGAGACTCTGGTCGGGGATTATCTTATGCAAAGAGACTTTATGAGTAACTTTGTTGAGGAGGATGTTAATGGAATAACACTATGAAGGTCTTCCCTATTTATTTAAAGAAGTTCCTATTACTGCTTAGGTCATATGTGCCAAACAGTTTTAATTATGTTCATATGCATATGTTCATTCAATTTTAGTCATTGGACAAATTTGCATTAAAAAAAAGACATAAATTTTGCACTTCAAAGTATATTTGTATTGATATTTTTCCCATGAATAGGCATTTTTGTACAGAGAGACGAAGATCCTAGTAAGAGGAAATCGTCGAAATAAAAACAAAATTGAGAATGAAAACAAATAGCCATGTGAAATGATCTCATTGCTTTCCAACTCTACTATTGCCCCAATGTCTTCGAATGTCCCTTGTCGTTGATAGAAGTTGATTAGATTGATCTTGGACCGTTTAAACTTGGACCTTGGTGATAAAATCGACTGTGTTGATTCCACGAGACATAATCATACGCTTTTAATCCTTAACTTTTTCCTGGACCGCCCTTTCGGGTTTTCAGCCCACCAGGATACCCCTTTGCCCAAGTCGCCCTTTCGGGTTTTCAACTTGTCGGGTGTACAATCTTTTGCATATATCCCAAATTTTTGCCCAAACCTTTTGGTTTACCGGGATGCCCTTATTTTTCCTAGGTGTGTCAACCTAACGGGTCTCTTATACGTAGTATTTTTTAACTATGTCCGCGTTTATAGGATATGGGAAATCTTCACCATCTATGGTAGTCAACATCATGGCACCACCAGAGAAAACTCTCTTGACAACAAATGGCCCTTCATAGGTGGGAGTCCATTTGCCTCTGGGGTCGCCTTGTGGTAGAATGATGCGTTTTATCACCAAGTCACCAACTTAATATACTCGAGGCTTGATCTTTTTGTTGAAAGCCTTGATCATCCTTTTTTGGTACGTCTAACCATGGCAAACAGCAGCTAACCGTTTTTCGTCAATCAAGTTCAGTTGATCCAATCTCGTTTGAATCCACTCATCTTCACCTAGGCCTGCCTCATTCATAATTCTCAGTGAGGGAATCTGAACTTCCACTGGAAAAACAGCTTCCATGCCATAGACTAGAGAAAAGAGAGTTTCCCCAGTTAATGTTCTAGCTGAAGTACGATAGCCATGTAGAGAAAACGACAACATCTCATGCTAATCCTTATAGGTTACTACCATTTTCTGTACAATCTTCTTGATATTTTTGTTGGCCGCTTCGACCGCGTCATTCATTTTCGGTCTATACGGAGAAGAATTGTGATGCTTGATCTTAAACTGAGTGCAAAGCTCAGTGATCATAGCATTGTTGAGGTTAGTCCCATTGTCGATGATGATCCTTTCGGGGATACCATAACGGCAGATAAGGTTGTGTCTGATGAATCTGGCTACCACATTCTTGGTGACTAAAGAAAATGAGGCGGCTTCGACCCATTTGGTAAAATAGCCGATAGCAACAAGAATAAAGTGATGTCCGTTGGAAGCTGCGGGCTTGACCTCTCCAATCATGTCAATGCCCTACATTGCAAATGGCGACGGAGCGGTCATGACATTCAGAGGGATAAGAGGCACATGGACCTTGTCAGCGTAGATTTGGCATTTGTGACAAGTTCTTGAATGTTGATGGCAATCAGTCTCCATTGTTGACTAATAGTAACCGACTCTTAAGATTTTCTTAGCCATCGTATGTCCACTTGAATGAGTACCGAAGAGATCATCGTGCATGTCTTCCATGATCTCCTCCGCCTCCTTATTGTCCACACATCAGAGTAGAGTTGAATCATGGTTGCGCTTATAAAATATCCTGTTACTTAGGAAGAATTTAGCTGCAAATCTTCACAAGAACTTTCTGACATTGATAGATGCCCCCTCTGGATATTCTTGTGCTTCAAGGTATCTCATCACCTCATGGTACCATGGCTTTTCCACATCAGTGTCAAGCTCATAGCAATGTGCAGGTTCATCGAATCTTTCAATTATTATCATAGGGGCTTCGTTGTCCCATCTGACCTTGAACATTGAAGACATGGTTGCCAAAGCGTCAGCCAACTGGTTTTCTTCCCTAGGGAAGTGCTCAAAAGTGATCTCTTCGAAGTAAGGAATTATGGATAGCACAAGTTCCTTGTAAGGGATAAGATTAGGGTGTTTAGTGTCCCATTCTCCTTTTACTTGGATGATCACTAGGGCGGAATCCACGAACACATCCAAATGCTTGATCCTTAAGTCAATAGCAGCTTTCAGACCTAAGATGCATCTTCATACTCGGCCATATTGTTTGTGCAATCGAAGCATAGTCTGGAAGTGAAAGGAGTGTGTCAACCTTCAGGAGAGATGATCACAACACCAATTCCGTTACCTAAGGCGTTAGAAGCCCCATCAAGTACCATAGTCCATCGGGATCCTTGTTCAGGTCCGTCATATGGTTCAGGTTTCGCACAGTCGGTTACCAGCATGATGTTCTCATCAGGGAAGTCGAAGTTCATTGATTGATAATCATCCACAACTTGATGGGCCAAATGATCTGCTAGTACACTTCCTTTGATGGCCTTTTGAGTCGTGTATTGAATGTCGTACTCAGTCAAGATCATTTGCCATCTGGCTATCCGTCCGAAAAGGGCAGGTTTCTCGAAGATGTACTTGATTGGGTCCATCTTAGAAATCAACAGAGTGGTATGAGCCAACATATACTGTCTTAGCCGGCGAGCAGCCCATGCCAGAGCGTAGCAAGTTTTCTCGAACAGTGAATATCTGGTTTCACAATCGGTAAGCTGTTTGCTCAGGTAATAAATAACACGCTCTTTTCAGCTAGACTCGTCATTTTGGCCCAAAACACACCCCATAGAGTTCTCTAATACTGTTAAGTACATAATCAAGAGTCTTCCTTCAACTGGAGGCATGAGAATAGGAGGCTTTTGTAGATATTTTTTTTATTTTTCGAAGGCAGCTTGGCATTTATCGTTCCATCTGACTACCTGATCTTTCTTCAAGAGTTTGAAAATTGGCTCACAAGTAGCAGTCAAGTGAGATATGAAACGAGCAATGTAATTGAGACGACCCAAAAATCCTCTGACTTCTTTTTCAGAATGAGGGACTGGAATTTCTTGGATGGCCTTTATCTTGGAAGGATCAACTTCAATGCAATTATTGCTGACAACAAAACCTAGAAGCTTTCCAGATCGTACTCCAAACGTGCATTTGTTAGGGTTTAACCTTAGTTTGTACTTCTTCAGCCTCTCGAATAATTTATACAGATGATCGAGATGTTCTTCTTCGGTTTGTGATCTGGCAGTCATATCATCCACATATACCTCTATCTCATGATGAATCATGTCGTGAAATAAAGCTACCATAGCCCTTTGATATGTTGCCCCTGCATTTTTAATCCGAACGGCATAACCTTGTAGCAGAAGGTGCCCCATTGCGTAACGAAAGTAGTCTTCTCCATGTCTTCGGGAGCCATTCTTATTTGATTATAGCCTGAGAAGCCATCCATGAAAGAGAAGACTTTATGCTGAGCATTATTATCAACTAAGGCGTCAAGGTGTGTGTTGTACCCTAAATTTCGCCCCTCATTTTTTCAGTCGCACTTTCATATCATATTTTGTCATTTGGTCACAATCATTAATAAATAGCTTCATTCATCACATTTGCATCATTTAATCGTGTTTAAGTTGACCAAAAGTCAGTTTAAATTGACATTTGCATCATTCTGTAGTTGAAAAATACCCGACATTTCATTTCATGCATTTTTATCTGTTTACTCATTTCTTGCATTGCTCCAAGTTGTTTATATGTCGATAATAAAAATATTTGGGTTTTATAGACAGACTGTTAAGAGCGATTCGACACTGTGCGGAAAATTAGCGAGAAAAATATTTCATGTTTTCACTTTTTACTGATCATTTTACGAATCTGCGTTTCGCGTAGATTATGACAGTATGCTCGCTTTATTTTTTCGGTACAGTTTGAAGTCTCGTTTTTAACCGTAAACGTTTGTTCAACCTGATATTTTTATTCTCATTTTATTCCGATTTAGACTTTTTGAATATTTTTTCTTTAATATTTGTGACATGTAGATTATTTTAATATGTTCATTTTATTTTTTCAGATAAATTTTCGTCTGTTTTTTATCGTTTTCGGTCATTTTGGGTCTTTATTTTTTATTTAGAAAAAATTCAAAAAAATTATTTTAAATTGAGTTAATTTTAATACTTTCAGATTTTTATTTCATTTTTATCATTTAAGGGCGTTTTTGTCATAAAAAAATATTAATTACACTTTACTTTTTTCTTATTGGTTGATAGCAATAGTTGTGGATTAATACAAATTGAATTTATTTTGAACAAATGAGATTAATTTTGATATCATTTTTCATTTTTTATTTTCCTATATAAATGTTCATTCTCTTTCTTTGTAAATCACACAAAAACAAATAACAAACCAAGCTTACACTATTTCTTTAAACCTCTTTATCTCTCTCTTAAAAGCACTAGCAGTACCCATATCCCTCTATTCCTCACTCTCCACGGCTACTCTTTCTAATTTTCTATTCTTCTTTTTCACTCACAGTAAACAAAAAAAACCTCTCTTCAATTTCTTCATCACATAACCCATTCCTCTCTCAACAACAGTAACGCCTTCTCCCAGCATAGTATCCATCCTCATCAACATACAACCTTCATTAATACTTGCACCGCCCAAGGTCTCTTTCAATCTCCACCTCCTTCCTCTCAACCTCATCATTTCTGCAAGTTAAACGCACAGCAACTCCATCACCGATTCAATCTCCGTCGCCCTTCAAGCTACCCACTGTTCCAACGTAAATTTCTTTCATTTGCATTCAATTTAAATTTCTTGGTACTATTTGGGATAAAATTGATAATGAATTTGTGATGTTTATTATTGTGTTTTGTTTGTTTACAATTGATAATGGAATCATGATGTTGATTTTTGTTTCAAAGGGAAACATTAAAATTGAGTATTGGAATTTTGATAGCATTTGTGATTTGTGATTAGCTCTGAGCAAAAATTTTCGATGTTCCTTTCGAGTTTTTTTTCTCTAAGAATATAATTGATTGAAGAAAAAAAGAATGGAATTGCAGTTACTTTTTGTTCAATGATGATGCTTGTGGAAGGAGTATATGTCATGGTGTCTATGAAGAACACAAATGTGCAATGACTTGTGTATATATCATGTATATATAAATTTATATTTAAAGTGCATGTAGTTGGAATTAATAAAGTTACTATTTCTTGTTTTCTTTGCATCAATATGTTAATTTCATTTCATTGAATATATACATTTTCATGTTAGAAGTTCTTTTAAGTTTAGTTTAAATATAGTAGACGTAATGTATAACACAAGTGCTTTTACTCCACTTTTATTTAATTAATTTTTTTTGTTTGATTTTAAGTTTGAAATAAAAGTCTAAAGAAGCTAGATTATTTAGTTTGTGATTGGATTTCACTTTTATGGGATTGTGAGTTTATTTGTGATAGGAAGTACCGCCCCTCTCTCTTGGTTGATGTGTATTTTTATTTTGTTATTTATTTTTGTCATGTGATTATTCCACTTTTCCTTTTTTTTTATTAATTAATTTGATTTATGATTATTATCATTTCTTTGTTTATATAGTTATTTTGTTTATAATTGTTAATAACATATGGGTTGTATGTTGATGTTTGTTTGGGCTAAAGTTCCACTAAGCCCATTGTTTCATTTATTTTAGATATCCTACTTGAATTTTACATTTCTATATTTTATCATTTGTATTTTTTTTGTATTTTTTTGTTTTACTATTTCGATTTAATATTTGGTAATGTAAATATATACCTGTACATAATATTTTGACTGTATATTTTATTCACTTCATTTGTAAATAAATTCAGGTTATGTAAATATTATTTTCATCGCATTGCGATTTTTTTTTTTTAATTTCAACTAACTTCTGAAAATTGTACGGACGCATATAAATTTTCCTGTGCTGTTAGTTTTGTCTGTATATTTCATGTGATGCAGAGAATCTTATACCGTGAGATTTACTCGATATCTTGAATCTTACCCGATACCATGAGCTTCATTCGCGATTTCTTTATCCGTGATTTATTTTCACGTGCTGCACTAGCTTTATTCGCTGCTGGGAGTATTATCTTACATCTGGTTTTTTGATGCTGTCAACTTGTGATTTATTTTCACCCGAGGTTTGGTATACTCTTAGCTTTTTTTCTGTCTATGACTTTAAACCCAAAGGGATGGGAATACAGTATTGACTTCATCATGTCAAGTACTGATTTCTTATTCAGTCAAATTCTTTTTACCGTATCTTTTACCCTTGTACATAAGACATTCTTTTCTCCCATTCTTTAATTTTCAAAACCTTCTCATCTTTTTCAAAATCTTCTTTGTTTATAAAATCGATTTCATAATAAACCTCGACTTTGTCAAGTGCATTTTATTTTAAAACTTATTTTCTTTAAACAAACTTCAATTCATTTAATCATACTTTGACATCTTTCAAAATTAACAAAAACAATTAAACTCATTCAAACCTTTTTTGTGCGCTCGAGCACCTTTACCCTTCAAAACTTTTTTCGAGTTGAGACATGATTCATTGATAGTCGAGCAACATTCTCCTATCCCCATGGTTATAAAAGTGTCGACTTTTCCACTTGAGTTCCAGAGGCGTTCTCAAACCCTCACTCTTGCTGACGCAAGGTCCATCTTTCCCACACCTTGTGGGCGTTAGTCGAGATTTCTCTCCTAACAATGACGACTTGTCTCCTTGTTTAAAATCAATCAACAGACAAGTCTTTTCTAGCCGAACTACGGTGCTCTGACTTTCCCATTTCACAAGAAAGTACGTAGGCACTAAGTCTTACGACCCAACGCGAGCAATAAAAATAATAAAAAACATTTCATTTTCTTTTGTTTTCAAATAAACGTTCATTCTTTTCCTTTAGCAAGTAAACCTTTATATAACACTCCTTTTGAAATAAACCAAACAAAGTGGATCATGCAGAGTACCGTAGATGCTTGGGGTGCTAATACCTTCCCTTTGCATAACCGACCCCCGTACCTCGATCTCTGATCTTTTTTGGTTTTATTCGCTTTTTTCCCATTTACATTTGGAAACAATAAAGTGCAATGGCGACTTCATTGTGTTGAGATAAGTCAATTGATGGCTTAATCTCAAATCTTTACCGCTACATTTCTTTACATATCATCACTGTCGCAATTGAGCACAGAAAATGGAGACCCTATGGTAGAGGGAAGTCATACTTGGGGCTTTCCCTATTCAGATCCCTATAGTCTACACACATGTGAACTTTTCCGTCCTTCTTTGGCACTAGCACCACATTGGCAACCCATTGAGGATAAGATGTCACAGCTAGGAACCCTGCATCAAATTGTTTCATCACTTCAACTTTGATCTTTTCAGACATATCAGGCTTCATGCGACGAACCTTTTATTTAACATGAGGGCATTCTTCTCTTGTCAGCAGACGATGAACTACGATGTCGGTATCCAACCCAGGCATATCTTCATAAGACCAAGCAAATACTTCCACATAATCATGCAACATCTGAACCAACCTGCTCTTGACATCACTTTCCAAGTTAGCGCCGATCCTGATTTCTTTCTTAACTGACTCAGTACCCAGGTTGATAACTTCAACTGACTCTTCATGCGGTTGAATATCTTTTTCCTTTTGTAATAGAAGTCTGGCTAGCTCTCCCGGTATGTCATAATCTTCCTTGCCTTCGTCTTCGACTTAGTTGGTAGGACATTCAAAGTCATAGTCGGCAATAGTAGAGTCATTGACAATAGGATCCAGAGTGGATGTGGGCTTGCAAGAGTGTGTGTGTGTGTGCATGTAAGATATATGGCTATTTTTTTTGAAAAATGTATTTGTAAGAAAGGAAAGACAATTAACACAAATATTTGAATGCAAAAGAGTCTAATGTACTGAATAATCATATAATTAGATGAACATAAATAAAACCCTTAACAAATGGACCAAAGAGCCCCGGGCTAGGCAAATGGCTGAAAAGTCATTGTTAAAACATTACAGACAACATGTTTTTGAAAAAGCAATAACAAGTAGATTACTCCTCAATGAAGGAGATGGGCACAAAGTCCTTCGCATGGCAATTCTTCAGTTCTGTTGTAGTTGGATACACCCACTCTCCAAATGCAGCTCCTTCTTCAGAATCACCCACGGCGTTGACTTCATGGCTTCCAATGCGGAGAGGTGGATTTCCAGCACGAGCACGCCTCACTTCCTTCTAAGCTTTGACGGTGAAGCCCAAACCAAACGTGTTCGCTTTAAATGGGATATCGAGGAGTTTCCCCCAAGTATCATAGTTTCCTTCTTCAATTTCCGCACGGGAATCCTTGACTGAAACCATCTTTTGCATGGCCTTAACAACTTTAGACTCATCAGGAGAACATTTGGTAGAAGCAATCATCGGTGGCATGACTTCAAAGGCTTGACATGGGGTTTCAATGAATTCTCCATCCATCTCTACGTATTTGAACGAGTTAAGGTGGCTTACCATAAACTCCTCTTCTCCACAGACGGTGACTATTCTTCCCTTGACTGGATATTTGAGTTTCTGGTGGAGGGTTGAGGTTACTGCCCCAACTTTATGGATCCACGGGCGACCTAACAGACAATAATAGGCAGGACAAATATTCATAATATAGAAGGTAGAGTTGAGTATTTGGGAGCCCACTTTGATTGGAAGATCTACCTCCCCATGAACAGTCCTCTTTGATCCGTCAAATGCCCTTACAGTGATATCGCTTGGCTTCAAGACTAAACCTTCACAATATAGATGGTCTAACGCCCCCTTGGGTAATACATTCAGAGAAGAACCAATGTCGACTAGCATATGTGCTAAGGTAGTCCATTTGCACTCGATAGAAACATGTAAATCTTTATTGTGATTCTTCCCAAGAGGCGTTAAGTCAGCATCTGAAAATCCCAAACCATTATCGGCTCTCAGGCTAGCCACGCAATTCTCAAATTGACCCGTTCGTCGTCTCATGGGGGACATGAGCCTTTTTCAGGAACTTGATTAATGTCCGAGCATGGGCATCAAAGCAAAGCAGCAATGACAACATTGAAATCTTAGAAGGGGTTTGCCCCAACTGTTCTACAATCTTGAAGTCGCTTCTTTTTGTGATTTTCAAAATCTCGTCCATCTCGTGAGCGTTCTCCATCAGCTACATCCTTGGAGGGTAATTCAATCACAGTAGGCTCAACAACCTTCTCCTTCCCTCTTGTATTAGTACTTGGCTTGACAGCAGTAATGCGGATGGGCATCCTTGTAACAACTGGTGGTGAGATATTGGGTGAAAATATTCTCCTAGTTCTAGTTACTTTGCTCGAACCAGCTATGTTACCGACATTGTCATCTTTTCCTTCTTCGATACACACGTCTTGTTTAATCCCATGATAGAACACCTCAGCACCATAATTCCATGGTACTGCCTTATTTGAAGAGTAGGGAATCGATCAGGGACTCGTAATTATTAAGGGAGCAATAGTGGGTTCATTTGAAATCCTAATAGGACCTTTGGAGGTGATCCTAAGAGGCTTGTTTGAGATGGTAATAATGGAGAGGTCTTCACATTTGTTAGTCAAACTTTTGGCAAGTGGGGTCTTCTCGAATAGAATTTCGTGGCTATCCATCAGGCGTTGTATGCTATTCTTCAGCCCTTCACATCCATTGAGTTGTCTTGTACAGCACACACAGTCCTTTATGCAGCCAGGGAAAATCCCGGCTTTCAATAAATTGTTTTTAATTATATTCAACGGAGTAGTCAATTCTTCAACAGAGGCGATAAAAATTGCATCTTCGACAATATTAACACCTTTCTCATGCTTCGGCATTGGAGCAGTGATTACATTCGGCGTTGGAGGAGGATCAAATTCAATAGTTTTATTATCAATCAAATCCTGGATTTTATTTTTCAAGACCCATCACTGGTCAGTCTCGTGCCCGAGGCTGCTTGAATGGTAAGCACACTTAGCGTTCGAATTATTCTTTGGTGACGAGGTATCAGGGTTGGCGAGAGGATCACACAATGTCACTAAATTATCCTTGAGCAAATGTTGAAGGGCTTGAGACAGTGACATGCCTAACCTCGTAAATTGTCTTCTTGGAGTTTCAAAATGTTGATGATTTGCAGATGGTCTTGGAGTAGGAGTTGGATTGGAGATTCGGACAACATTGACAGACGGATGATCGTTTTTCTGGG